GTGGGGGTGGGTTGTGGTGGGCATATGGGGTGGGGCGCTCAGCTGTACTGTCCCTATGCCCCCAGACGCGGCGGAGCATGGTGTTTGCCAAGCACCTGCGGGCTGTGGGCGACGAGTTCAGAAGTAAATATCTTAATTCCACAAACGAGGCCGACAGGATCCCCTACGAGGAGGACTGGACCAAGATGAAGGTAGTTTCTACTTAATTGGAGGAAATGTTAATGGTCTCTTTAGATGCATAATAATGAACCCCTTAATTTATAGCAGGTGGGGGTGGATGATGGTCACCTTCAGTGTCACCCCCCTGAATGCCATCCACAGTCATTATGTAATTACCATGGATGCTGCTCATCAGGAACCCTCCCACCCCACCCCACGGTCCTGGTGCAAACTTAGGGAAATCGCTTCAGTGAAATGGAATGGGACATTACTGCAGGCTCCGGCCGCCCAGGCAGTTCTCTTAGAGTAAAAACAGCTAACAGATGTGCAAGCAGAAAGAAAAAGATTATCACTTATGTTCAGTGTTTTTTATAATATGAGAGCGATAAAAAAAGCGAGATTCATCCAGACTACCTAAGAGCACCACTTACCCTTCTGGTCTGGGGTCACCCCTTTAAAAATTTTCTTTTCTGAAAGGTTTGGATTTCTTATAACTTAATTTTAAGAAACATTATGTTGCCTTTTCAGTTGGACTTAGTGTTTAAGCATTTTCAGTATAATTTAGTAGTTCTTTCAGTGTGGTTTTTAACAGCAAACTGTTTCATAGAGAGGAACACCGTTTTACCTGTTTACTCCTCTATGGGACATTGGGCTATTTTCAAGTGGAATGACATTGTTCAAGGACTAATTCATAGTAGATATGTGGATAGTTTTTATTGGAAAAATGTATTTAAGTGGAAAGTTTTTATCTTTAATCAATTCGTATTTTTTTCAGTGTTCACTTACCTTTTTTTTTTTGCACTAACATCAAAGGTATGGCCTTAGAAAACATCCTGTCCTCCTGAGAGTCCCTCAGACAGACTCACAGTACAGGGCTCTGAGTGTGGAACGCTTGCTTGTCCCTTCTGCGTCTCCCGAGGGCGAGAGCTGGACGCGAATCCAGCTCCTAGGTCCATCTCAGCATGTCCCTGTCCTCTGCCAGGTCAAGCTGGGCTCCTCACTGGGGGGTCCGTACCTCGCCGTCCACCTGAGAAGGAAGGATTTCATCTGGGGCCACAGGGAGGACGTGCCCAGTCTGGGTGGAGCTGTGAAGAAGATACGCAGCCTCATGAAGACCCACGGGCTGGGCAAAGTGTTTGTGGCCACAGATGCCGTCAGAACAGGTAGGCAGCTCTGGCTCTGTCCATCCCTTGCCCCAGTGTGTCCTGGGCAGAACTGGTTTTGCGTACTGACCCTCAGCTCTGATGCTGGGAGGGAACCTCGAATTCTGCAGTTTTGGCCTCTTCACCCATGCCAGTTCCTGAGGATGAAGGTGTCATGGGTATACGTGTAATCCTGGTAGCAGATCCCCATTCAACGGCCCCTCCTTTTCTTTTGCAGAATATGAGGAGCTGAAAAAGCTGTTACCCGAGATGGTGAGGTTTGAGCCCACGTGGGAGGAGCTGGAGCTCTACAAGGATGGAGGCGTGGCCATTATCGACCAGTGGGTCTGCTCGCATGCCAGGTGCTCAGAGCCGAGGGCGCGTTTGCTTGTGTTTCACAAGGTCCATGAGTCTCAAATTCCTGATAGTCAAAACAGACAGAGTTCTGCATACTGGCTGGTCACTGCCCAGCCATCTGCTCTGCTGTTCAGTAAATAGAAAATGTTCCCTGTAACATTCCATTCAGTGGTTCTGAGTAGCCGCTGTCAGCTATTCATTTCATTCCTGTGGTCCATGGTGCACTGTCATGATTGCTTCCCCCAGACCTCTCCTCTGTCTGATGTTGTCAAAGGAGGGTGAGTGTGGGGCAGTGAAGGACTTCACTCCTAGACCTGCCCCACCTGCCTGCCAGGAACTGCCCTGAGTCCATCCTTGAGTGTGCACAGGGCATCCTAGAGTCCGAACGCACAGGCCCCCGATCTTCTCATTTTCCTGGGACTTCCCTGTGGGAGGCAGCCTGCCCAGGAGAGAGCGGGTCCTAGGTCTGCCCGTGGGTCCCTCTAAGGACTCCTCTGCCTGTTGGCGCTGGGGAAAGGTCAGAAAGAATACTTCTGGTAAAATGGAAAGTGAAAGGGGAGCAGCTCATTTTCCTTCTGTCAGGATTCTGACTCCTGGGTGGATGCACGTGTTTGGTTTTAATGGGTCGACGTGCATCTGTCCTTGTGTGTGCTGAGCACTGTAGGCAAGGCCCAGGGGACACCCTCCTCCAGGATGAGGGGCGTCCCCTGAGCAGGGGGTTTAGGGGGCAGGCTCTGCCTCAGTGGTGGGGATGGAGGTGGGTTGGGGCCGAGAGACTCAGCCGGCTACCCCACGTTTTTTAGTGAGAGCCTGACAGCTCTGTGCCCTCAGCCCTGAGTTCTGTGGAGATTTTGAGGTTAGCACTTCCGTGACCCACTTCCCACAGACCCAGACTGTCCAGCGTCTTGCGGAGCAGACTTCTGGTGCGTTTGTTCCTAGACTGCCATCCTGGAGGGGGCTGGGGGCTGCAGGTGATTTCTTCCCACCGCCCCAGCCTTGCTTGTGGTTCCAAGCCCTTGCCTCTTGGAGCCAGACTCTAGAGGAGTCTTGTGTCTGCCCGTGTGCAGAGCTGTCTCCTGAGTACCCGAGACTCAGCCAGGCCCCGCCAGCTTGGCCTTTGGGCTCCTCCAGCCTCTGCTCCGTCCCACCAGCCCTGGCCACTCGGCTGTGGCGACGGCCTCAGGGAGCCTGGGGCCCCAGGCTGGGTGGGCAGGTGTCGGAGATGCTCGAGCAGGCGGCCGGTTCTGTGCGGCTCTGGCAACCTCTGCCGTTTCTTTGCAGGTTCTTCATCGGCACATCCGTCTCCACGTTCTCCTTTCGGATTCATGAGGAAAGAGAGATCCTAGGGTTGGACCCCAAGACTACGTACAACCGATTTTGTGGAGACAAAGAGAAAGAGTGTGAGCAGCCCACCCACTGGAAGATTGTGTACTGAGCTGGCGCCTTGCCCCATGCCCTGCACCCATTTACATGTGGTGGGCTCTCGGGCTTCCCCTGATGACACACGTCACTGTGGGGCTGTCTCCAGCCCGCAGCTAGACAGGCAGACCGTCACATCTTAGGGCCTCAGCCCAGAGGTGGCCACATACAGGCACAGTCCATGGCCACGTGAGCCATGGCGTGAGCCGCACTGCTCCGGGTGCTGCACCCGTTCTTGGTGTCTCCTCCAGCTGTCGCCTGTGAAAAGGCACTGCAGCTTTCTGGGGACTCTGGTTGTGTTTTCTGTCAGGACCTGAAACCACGTCTCAGCCGCCAGCGAGGCCCATGGTGTGTCTTCCTCAGCCTCCTTCTGGAGGCCTTTCCCCAGCAAGCCAAGGGCAGGCGTGGCATGTGAGCAGCTCCCGTCCCAGGGAGGCCGCACAGCTGGCGGTGCCCTTGGACTTGGTGCGATTTGGTCTGTAGGTCAGTCATTTTAACTCCTCTGTTGCCCTAGAGCAGAGCCTTAGTTCTGCCCTTCCCCTTGGGCAAGACCTCATGCAAATTGGAGGGAAGGTGAATCGCTGCCTCACAGAGCTGGGTTGGAGGGGGCCTGTGAGATAATCGCTCTCCGCTCTGGTCAGAGTGCTGGAAAGTTCCACGGCAGGTCTTCAGTGATTCGGACTGTTCACGTGGAGAGAAACTGGTCCGTCCCCACACCATGTCTAGTGGGCTGCCTCTGCAGTCGTGACTGTTACTGCCACATGCCAGGGGTGGCAGTGCTTGGCCAAGAAGCCTCAGCACTGCTCCCCTCGAGGGCAGGGGTGTGGCCTGGAGGGGCATGGCAGGCAAGCTGCTGTCCTTGGTCCCTGCTCTTCTCCAGGAGCCCTTTTTGAGGTCTCAGAAATGCTGCCACTTGGGATGCCACCAGCCACATGGGTCGGCTGTGGAGCACTGCCATGGAAGCCCCACCCTGTCCCCTCTAACTGGGAACCCTGACTTTTCAGGGATACCAGGGTGAACAGCCATGATGGCGAGCGCAGGGCATGGGGTCCTACTGCTGAGCCTGGCAGCCAAGGTGTGGCAAGGTCGAGGCCCATGACCCCAGGTTCTCTTCCTTCCCAAGCTTCTGAAATCTACCCTGAACACGTGCAGAGGCCCAGTGGTGTGTCCATGCAGGGTGAAATGGTGAAATATTTATTCTATTTCCATTTATACATTCAAATATTAGTAAAATAAATTTTCTAGAAAGCTGGAATCCTATAAATAGTACCTTTTCTTACCCTGAATTCTCTTTTGGCTGCGAGCTTACAAAACAGTGTGGGCTGTGACCATCACCTTTTGAAAGGAAAATAAAGTGCTTTGTGGTGCTTATGCAGTGTTACCATGCAGGTGCCACGGGGGTGATGTACCAGCGTGACTGGGTGTGCGCCCATGTGCAGGGGCAGCACCTCTGCCCACTGGCCCACCTGCTGCCTGGCTCGTGCGAGAAAACCATGGGTGGAGTGACAGGCAGCAGGCCCGAGGAAGCAGCAGCACTGTCCTGGGTCTGTGTTCTGGTGGAAAGAGCAGCGAGAAAACACCCATGTTAGAGGGTGGGAGATACTTCGGGAAAATGGGCAGAGGGGGAGCCCAGGGCCAAGTCCCCTGAGGACCTGGGACACAGCCACACTCCATGGTCCCCAGCACACTGGCCAGTGGTGATCTGCCTGGCACCACATCCCGCTGACCAGTGGCAGCTTTGCTGGTGTGAGAGGTGGTGCTCTAGTGGCCCTGCCCCAGGAGGGGCAGTCAGTGTGGCAAGACAGGCTCTTCATCTCGGGATGAGGCCATCGGTGCTGCTCCCTGTGACAGTCTAGTAGCTCTTAGAGCCCGGCTGGCCCCCAGGGCCTGCATCTCAGAAGATCTTTCCTGGAGCTGAAGGTGAAGGAAGCCATCCCTTTGTTGATAGTGACAGTTGGTGTCCTTGGCTTCCTGTAGCTGCGGCTTCTGTCAAGGTGGTCTGGCTGTGAGGCCCTGCTCTTGAGAAGCATTTGAAGTTGTGTGGGGAGCGGGGGCAGCCAAGGACAGTGGACTGTGGTTGGGGGACAGACCTTACTGTCTTGACCTTGAGCCAGAGGGACCTCAAAGGGATCCCACATTGTGATCCTTTGAGGTCACAGTGGGCCCTCCTGCGGGGAGTGCCACAGGGCCCATGGGCACCTGCCACGCTGTGTGGAAGCTTCTGCTGACGGACAGGCCTGGGGACACAGGACCCATCTCTGCTCTGTTCTCACATGGGCCTTTGTCCTCACACCAGTGGATTTGCCTTGTGGTGGCGGGACTCCTGCTGTGACCACAGTGCCCTCTGGGCTCACTGGGGCTTCAGGCCCTGAGTAGAGAGCTGTTGTTTCAGACGGGAGCCTAGGCCGAGGGAGGGCTGGTCAGGGCTGCGCACCCCTCCAAGTGGCTTGCCCTCTGTCAGTGTCAGCCCTTCCTCCAAATGCGGGAGACTGTCGTCAGCCCCACTCCCACACACCTCCCTTCTATCTCCATACTTCATGCATCCCCTGCATTTGAGAATGAGCCGGGCTGGGACTCCCACTGACAATAGGACCCTGCAAAAGTGGTGGATGTTACTGCCAAACAAGGTTCCAAAAGACTCTGACCTCTCTGTCTCTCTGTCTCTCCCCACCCTGTCTCTGTCTCTCTGTCTCTCTGCCTTTCCCTCCCTCCCCCTCCTCCCTCTTGCTCCCCTGATGAGGCTCATGTGGGGAGGACCGCAGGCCAGTCACCGGCTCACAAGGAGCTGGGCCCCCAGCCCAACAACTGTGGGCACTTGGGTCCCAGCTACATCCACTGAAAGCTCGAACCAGATCCAGCCCATTACCCTGGAGATGATGCAGCCCTGGCCAAGATGACACCTCGAAGGCAGGTCCTGCTGTCCCCAGGTCCTGACCCAACAGATGCTGGGATGACAAATGTTGGCTTGACCCCTAAATTTTTGGGTAATTTGTTATACAGCAACAGATATCTACACTGTGCTCACGTTGCTAGACAAGAGCAGTAACAAGATGTGAAAAAATGTGGGCATCCTAGGTGACTGTGCCCAGGGCGCTTCTGGGGTCCAGACCCATGGGGTGCAGTGGCAACTGCTCCCAGACTCTTCCCCAGGGCTGAGGGGGAGGGGGCACAGGAGCCTATGGCTGTAATCCCAGAGCTGCCGCTGGCCAACCCGTGTGGCCCATGATCCCTGTCCCTCCCCGAAAACACAAATAAGGCTCAGGTTCACTGAATGTGACCTGGCGATAAACAGCCTCCTTCCTGTGGGAGTGACATTGGCAGCCCTGCAGGCCTTGTGATACGGAACACAGCGTCTTCTACCCCGATGCCCAGAACATTCTTGGCGCTCCCTCCCCCGCCCCAGTGGGCAGCAGGAGCCCCCAGGAGCCCCTCACTGCCGCGCAGACGAAATCAGCCCTGGGCCCGGCCGCCGCGGCGCTGTCTGGCTTGCTCATACTGTGCCCTGACCCCTGTCCTGGGCAGGGCGGTGGGAACCGTAGCCAGATCCTGAGCCCTGGCTGTGCAGCCTGAGGGTGACACAGAGGCAACTCCCAGAGCAGAGCTTGGCCCACACGTGGAGGCATGTGAGAGAAACCACGGGTGGGGGCAGAGGAGGGCCTGGCACCCAAAAGGAGGAAGACAAGGGGTCCCCAGGGAGAGCTGGCGCAGCGCCCCCCGGAAGTCAGCAGATGGCCCGTGGACTCAGTAACCCGGTTTCTGTGCCCCGGGGGAGGAGCAGCCGTGAAGTCACATCGCACTGCTGGCTCCCAGCGCCATCTGTTCCCGAGGACGTCTCATGGCTCCTCGTGGCCACATTAGCTGACTAATGAAGGCTGATGCTGCAAGAAATGGCCCGTGACGAATTAAATCTCTCATTTCGATTAAGAGGCCTTTTTAGGACAAACCAGGACGGCTTTGTGTCCCTCACGGCTGGGCCCTGGGCAGCTGCGGGCGGCTTTGTGCACAAGTGGACAAGTATGCGAACACCACAGTGCCGTGGACTCTTGTCCCCTGAGTGAGCATGAGAGAGCCCCTGACACCTCAGCCCATCTCTGGGAGGAGGTGGTGAGCCCACACGTGTCCAGAGCCAGAAGAGCAGGCACCATGCCACCTCAGGGAGCCCACTAGTGGCGGGCACAGGCTGGACCAGGGGTGCGGGGCTCAAGTGCCCCTCTCTGCCCTCCTGGTCCCTCAGCTTCCTGGGGTGTCAAGGACCAGCAAGCAAGCACACGAGCGATGCTGTGTCAGCAACGTGACCCTAAGTCAGAGAAGGACCCAGCGGCCTCTGGAGACAGGGGTTTGTAGAACAAGTGATATTTTGCTGCCAGGACGAGTGGGGAGTGGGAAGGATGCCCCAGTGAGGAGATGGCTGTTTGTCAGGGACATGGCCTGTGCCCAGAGAGAAGAGGGTGGACCCGAAAAGGACAGCCAGGCCTCGCTACCGCCAGCTGCACACGGGGGCCGCGTGTGTCTCTAAACCCAGGCTCCAAACCTCTCGGCTGTCACGGGAATGAGAATCATGTAAAGCGCTTCCCGGGGTGCCAGGAGCTTAAAAAAAGAGTTCAGTAAGTGCCAGCGAGTGGATACTATTATCACAAATAATAAATCTTCTGAAATTTAGCTTTTAAACAAGTCGGCTATGGTAAAAAGAAAAATCACGGTTAACCAGTGAACAAAGCGGGCGGTGTCTGTGCCCCTCGGGGGCACACAGGTCCGTGTCCTTCTTTCACAAGATCCGCAATTCCCTGCGTGGGCCCAGGGCTTACTCTTCAAGCGTCTGGATGGCCCAAAAGTCAGGATTCTTTTTGGAACCGACTTGAACACAACCCCTTGGGAAATAGTACTTAACGTTATTATGATTGTCAGTTTTGCTAACATGCAGCGAAAGTCATGAGGATGTGGGTGCTTTCACCCAGCAGCCCCGCCGGCAGGGACTCAGGGAAGCACCCCCCGGAGCGAAGCGGGCCCACGCCTGTCGCAGCGTCATCTCCATGAAAAAAGAGGGTTTTGCTGAACATGTGAGAATGGAGGGCGTTGGGTGAACTGCGGTGAATTACAGTATTTCTCTTACATAGACATGTAGGCAGCACTGAAAATGTAATAGAATGACAAGGACAGAGACAAGCGTTGGATTTGAAGGGGAGTGACGAGGGAACGCGTCAGAACAGTATAAATTGTCTTTACAACCTGAGTCGGTGCGTGTAACTCGTGGGCAAAACCCTAAGATGTCTGGGGCGGTTATGAAGATGAGCTATTTTTAGCTTGTCTTCAATATTTCTGGTTTCTTGTTTCAAGAAACTTAATAACGCTTTCCTGTGATTCCATTGTCATTTGCGGTGACACGTCCATGAGATAATTCTCAGCGCGGAGCAGGCAGTGCAGACGCTTCCACAAAACTGAAAAGCCTCACGGTTAGAGGGACTAGGACTCCCCAGGACCCTGCCCCTGCCCCCCACGACCCCATGGGCTCATCCGTAGAGATCTGCGTGGTGCAGGCTCCGCTCCCCACCCAGCAGCCGCCCCCGGCCCAGGCAGAGTAAGAGGCCGGGGAAAGGCAAACTCACAATGTCGGCCTGAAAAAAAGCAGGAAGGCAGAACCGCTGCCACCTGCAGCGTCACACAATTAACTCTGGCTCCAGAGAGAAATTAGTGGGGCTGTAGCCGTCCTGTCCGCCCCATTACCTGCACCATTAGGATTCACTGCACATCTAAAGTCCCTTAAATAACAGATTCCCCTGCAACTAATCCATCGCGAGGTCCGCCGAGTGCCGCAAGGAACTTTTCCTGTTGGTTAACTTCCCAAAAGTTCCTGCTTGTCGGCCAGACAAGACACCAAGGATGGCCACCTCACTGCCTTGGCTTGTCACCTCAAAACGCCCCTGCACGGGGGGTCAGCGGAAGCACAGGGGGCCTGGGGAGGAGCCTGGTTTCTCTAATTCCAGCGTGTCTTGCTGCCCCTCCTGCCCTGCCCCCTTCAAGGCACACGCCTGAGGGTCATGCTGCTCCACCTGGACCAGGTCCCCCAGCCAGGGGAGGGGCGACCATCCGGCCACGCTGCCCAAGCTCCTGTCCACCGGACGCTGGGTCCATGGTCAGTAGCGCCGCCTCGAGCGACGGGCATTATGAATGCGGCTTGCGGGCGCCCTCTCTCCGGCTAACGGCTGGCATCCGTGACGGTGCCAATGATAAGCAGGTGGCTTGCGCAGGAGTCTGACAGGTTCTGCGACCTTCCCACGGGCGGGTAAGGAGGTGGACGTGCCCGAGGACATTAGTCCCACATAGCGATAGTCCCCCTTCCCCTTTATGTTATTATTACCAAGTATATATTTTAC